CCACGGGAGAAAGATGAGGCTTTCTGTTCCCATAAAGATTTACAGCCTCGGAAACCTTGTACAACTGTGAGTTGGAACCGACTCCTCAACACACCATACAGCGCACAGGTCGGACGCTCCCCACTCCTGCTATACAGGGTCACTATGAGTTGGAACTGCTATCAGTGGCCCTTCCAAGGAGCACAAGGCCCCTAAAAGAAAAGGAGCAATCGTCCAACTTAAAATTACTATTAGCTATGACACAAAAACATAAAGAATACCTTCAAAAATGGATTTAAGAGATATGAATGCTATAATAACAAAGTTATTAAATAACTAGATTGGTGGCGGCTATGAGCCACTGAGTCAGTTCCAAGGCTGTAAATCTTTACAGGAACAGAAACCCTCATCTTTCTCCCGTGGAGTGACTGGTAAATTCAAACTACTGCCCTTAAAAAACTAGACTATTGCTGTTGTTAAGTGCAGTAAAGTCAGTTCTGACCTACAACAACCTTGTACAGGGTTTCCGAGGAATGGCTGGTGAGCTTGAACCACTGACCTTGCAGTTCAAATTGACTTTGCAATCTAGCGCATTAACCCACAGCACCACACCAGGACACCATAACTAGATTGTTAAGTGCCATCGAGTCAATTCCGACCCATACAACCCTGTACAGGGTTTCCAAGAATTAACTGGTGAGCTTGAACCACTGACCTTGTAGTTCAAACGACTTTGCAGTGTGATGTATTAACCCACAGTGCCACACCAGGACTCCATAACTAGATTAGGATAGAACAGTTAACAAAGAGTATAGAATGGAGGAAGTGTCTTCAGACTTTCCAAAAGAATATTCTTAGAACAGAAAGGTGCTGTCTGTAATTTAAGCATGTTAAAAAAAAAAAAAAAAGCAGCAACAGCACCTCCAGTAGAAAGTGGCATCTCTGGGATCTTTGCTGCTGCAGATGTCATCAGATAAAAAAAAAAAAAAACTGGTCTTAATCTTCTTCTCCAAGCAAATACACAAGTAACCTTCTGCCACAAACAAATGAAGAAAAATCAAAGCCAGACATAAAAGCCAAATGGTAGTATGTTAGAAACTTTCAGAAAGGAACTCGTACAATAAGTTCAGTCTAACTCTGAATTATCTGAACATAATATACCAACATAAAGTCTACATTTATCTATTTTATAGCAAGAACAAGACAGATTTGATGCCAATTATTTTTTGCCCTAGTCAAGAGATTTTATCATCCTTCTGCAGAACAATTATCTACAGGTACCTAATCCTTAAAAGCTTTCTTTTAAGGATTACTGTCTCCAATTCAGCACAGAAAAAGTACTGCTCACAGCAACTGGACATCATTTCATTAGATTAGATTAATTTTTAACTGTGTTATTCTAACAATTATACCAACTACCATATTGGAATTGACTCGACAGCACTTAAAAAAAACAACAACCATGTAATTAGTATTTCAACTGACTTCACAAAAATTACAAAATCCCCTACAGAAAACAGTCATCAGGCATGAATGAGACTTGTCTAGGGCCGACAGTACATAAAACAGAAAGTTCATCATATGATGGGTGGTATCAAAGTCTTTCCCATACTTCTTTCAATTCTTAGCCAACAGCACATAAAGCTGGCACTGACAACTTACCCCAAACTTCACTTAATATATGAATGCACTTATGGTTTAAACTCTTTGAGGGTAAAATGATGAATGATGAAAGCTTCAGCAATTAAAAAGCTCTTTTCATTTGTAGAAGAGGCGAGATAAACACATATAATTGTTTGCTTCGTCCATTTCTCCTGCTGGAAATTTATGTCTTGTGGGTATTTGGGGATTTATTAACTAAATGAACCCGTATGAGTCCTGGTATGGCTCTGCGGGCTAATGGACTGGACTGCAAGATCAGTTTGAATTGCAAAGACGGTGGTTCAAACGCAGCAGGGTTGTTATGGGTCAGAACCCACTCGACGGCACTTAACAACAACACTTGAGTAGGAACTTAATGCATTTATCAACAACAACCCTTGTTTTCCTATTCCGATGCTACTTTTCTTCCTGGGTTTTCTGTATTTTTATAATCCTTCTAAAATCCTTTCCAGAATAAGGTAAGGCATAAATAAATACAAATTAAATAGGACAGGATTTACTCATACACCTTTCATCCAATTTGAATTAGCAGCAGCAGCCTAATCCCAGAATACAGAGCTGAGATGAATCTAAATCCATAAACAACTTTAGCAGGAGAGAGTCATGGTTGATTACTGAGGTCTGCCCTAGACAACAGCAACAGTGTAACAGTATTCATGTATCATGCATTTGCCATACCCATACTTCAATATACCATTAAAATTTAGGACAATGTGCACAGGTGCATGAATAAAATATATGACTTATTTCTAGAATTCAGGTTAAAGGGAAAAAAACTTTCCTATAGTCATATTGGATTAAGCCATCAAGTTTTAGAGGAAAACACTGAATTAATTTCAAAACTCCAAACTAAAAGTCTAGCTGGAGAGTCTTGAAAAGGTCAGTTACCTGGGTCTCAGCATGCAGGGTTCTAAAATAAGAGATTGAATTAAATCACCTCTTAATTATTCTTGTTATCTCTATTGATTAATGGTACAAGAAAACCCAAAATCCCTCTACTGATAGCACCAAGTAGCTGATGAAAGAACACTTTACAGATACTTAACTTCAGCAGGCCAAAGACATGCCTAGAACCCCAGGTGCCCTCACACTGCTCATTTGGGATTTATCAGAGGATGAATTTCTGTGTACATTTTTGGAGTCCTGGTGTGGCACAATAACAAGAAGCATCTCCAAGGGTAAGAAGTTCCACATACGTAATATTTATTTGCTTTAACACAACCGCTTTTCCACCATGAAGCTGATTGGGAGTGAGGAGAAACAAAGAAGGGGCTTCTATTTTAATCATCTGTAATTTGGCAAACAAAGCCATCTTCACTTAAAATATTACATGTCACCACTTCAATTTAAAGTTACTCATGGTTTTAAGATCAACCTAAATCTTCCCAGTACTGTCACTCTATTCCAAAAACAACCTTACTGACATGATACAAAAACAGAGCTTTCTTATCCCAAAAAGAAAAAAGCAAAACTTTCTACAAGGAGTACAACCACAAACAAGTCAAACCACACACCTACTGACCAGATTCCACCCAACCATCCAGTAAAATCAGGTTTAAATGATCAAAAGTGTCCCAGAAAAACAAGGAAGTTCCATTCACACAGGACAACCTGGGAGAGCAGTGTAGTGTGTGTGTGGCTGGAACAATCTCACATCTAGTCTCTGCAACTGCAACAAAAAACTAGAATTTTCTTGTTTACCATGCAGCCCCTTCTGTAGGACCTATCTCTCTCCAGTTTCAAGAATCCCCCAAACCCCACTCCATGGCTCAGGTGATCAAAGCTGGCCAATAACAATTCCTTCTGCTGGGTTCAATGTACCATCTTGGAGCCACCTGTCAAGCAGGGTATGGTGCTGTGAGTTAATGCGTTACACTGCAAAGTCTGTCTGAATCGCAGGTCGGCAGTTCAAGCTCACCAGCTGCTCCTCAGAAATCCTATACAGGGTCGCTATGAGTCAGAAGTGACTCGACAACACTTAACAACAACAATATGGACACCAGGAGCTCACTAGGTACAAGAATCAGGCAAGCCTACATTTGCCAAGGGTTACCTTCCCCACCTCTTGGAAAGCATTAGAGCCAACACAGAAACAAGCAAATCTAGAGGTAGCAAGAGTGACAGGTTGCTGCCACCCATTAGAGTACCTACCTTGATCCTCATTAGCTGAGCCTCATACTAGAACCTCGTAGAATGCTTCAGTTGAATTTTTTTTTTTTTTGCTTAACCTAGATTGAATTGGGCATTGGGTTTGTCACCAGCAGTCCAGAGTTTGAGAGAAAGAGTATATACACTAAAAGTATTCATTTAAGCTTCAAGTTCTTTCTTTAATACCCCATGGAAAATCACTTTTTCCATAAATCTCAGATTCAGCTTCCAGGAGCTGCACTTCAAAGAAACTACAATATTTCTATAGAGAAATCCAGAGAAGAAATTGTGCACAGCAGGAAAGCTGGCAAGGTTCACCCATCATCCAAGACCTAAAGGGAAAGGATCACTAAAGGGAAGGAAAAGACGATCAACAGCTAGAGAGGACAAAGCCGTTCAAGACCAGTAAGTGTCGAAGTATTTCCTGAGAGGAAGTATGGTATAAATGAAAGCTTCCAAAATCCTTCCCCCTCAACAGAAAAACAACACACATACACATATCAATCCACTGCACATAAACAAAAGGAACCCGTCAATATAGTAAACAACTATCCCCAGGCTTATAAACCTAAGTGTTCCCTGATATTTGGGGGCTACAGTGAGTGTTTCTTTTACACTATCTTAGGGTCTCTGCAACAGGCCTGCCTGCTGAACAAAACCTGAATATTAAAGTCTATAAAGTGTGTTAAGTAGCTTCCTCAGACAGAGTCTAAAGCAATTAGGTAGTAATTAAAGAGTAACCTAACAAGCAATATTCTAATGATGTTCTTACATCAACAACAGGGGGAAAATAATACAATGGAAGCCCTCAGCACTTACACCACCAGTCCTGAGAGGGTCCGTCCTTAGAGGGTCATGGATCACTGAGAATCTGATAAAAGCTATAAGTCCTTCCTGATAAAATATGTACGTACCATAACATTTTGCATGTAATTTCAAGGGGCTCATAAAAGTTGCTCCCCACACTAAACCCCCAGGTTAAAAACTCTTGTTAAAAAAAAAAAAAATGCTTTTTTTTACACCTATGTATCATTATTCCTAAAGACTTCAAAAGACTATTAAATAGCTTAAAGAGAAACTCTAAAACTTTCAATTGTATGATCCTATGCTCAACAACAACAACAAAAAATCATCCTCACATTCTGCAATTTAAGATGTGAGAAAACTTCGGTTGTCTTAGATTACTTTCTTTGATAATGCGTCCTCCTTACCTTGTTTGACCATTTATACGCCTGAAGGAGCTGGCTATAGAGAGGAGTTTTGTCCTGCACAGGATCCAGGCTTAAGAGCCCACTGTTATGGAGAGGGTGGTTCTCAGATGGCTTGCCTACCAAATTGCTCAGACGTTCCAACTCACTGAAAAGTAAACAGATAAAGCAAATAAGCTTGAGTCCACTTCAACTCCAAAGTAAAGTCAAACGCCATTGCCAAAGATTGCTCTTCAAGTGGTCCATCAGAAGCCCCTTAAAAAGAAATACTTTTTGGAATGTTAAATGTATTCAGGGCAAGCAAGGAAATCTCTTACCTTAATCTGAATGAGCTTCCTGGTGTCATTCCAGAGGGAAAAAAGAGCACTGGAATCAGTAACGGTAGTGGTTATGTGCCTGGTTATGTGCCGTGGAGTCAGTTCTGACACTTAGTGTCCCTGAATAGGGCTTCTGAGGCTATAAATCTTTATGGGAACAGAAAGCCTCATCTTTTTCCCGCAGAACCACTGGTAGTTTCGAACTGCCGACCGTGAGATTAGCAGCCCAACTTGTAACCATTATGCTACCAGAGCTCATTGGAATCAATAATATCGCTCCTAAAATCAGGATTTGACAGCTACAATTATTCTCTGCAGGGAGAAGGGGACTTTTTGGAATTTTGAATTGTGGCATAACACTGCTTCTCACTAATGGTTTTCAGACCCACGTGCAGATCATTTCATTTGGCAGAACAGCAAGTACCTGAATAAATGCTGATTATTTATCATTCACATAGGGATAGATTTGTACATGATGCTTCACAGATGGTAAAACTTAACAAAACAAAGAAGAAATAAAATAAACAAATGGAATGGGAAGACACCACGGAGGGGGCTGTGTCAAACAAACATTTCAGTCTAGCAGGAAAACTCCAGCGAAGCTTGGAAAAGGGAGCCAACTGCAACAACACAATCCAGGATCGTATCACGTTTTGAGGGGCCAGTCCCAAAGTGCCAATATGAGAAGTCTCCCTAAAAAAAGCCTCTCATGCTGTATTAGTTTCAGAATCTTTAGCACCTTCTTCTTGGTACTATTGTACAAAGATTTAAGAAAGTAAAGGGAGCAATGTAAACATCTTAAAAACTTTCTAAGATGGTGAAGTGTTCTGACACTCTGAACATATGAAGAAAAGAAAAACAGAGAAAAAGTGGTAATGGAAGAAAAGATAAAGAAACCAGTGCATTTTCTCCAGCAAAGAATTAACTGGCACTATGCCAGAGAACAGCAAGTGAATGTGGGAGTTGAGGAGGGGTGTGTGATTTCCTGGCTTTGCCCCAAAAAGAATGGCAACTACTTCAGGGAAAAAATCAAAAGAGGCACTCATCATTTAGCCACCACCTCCTCTTCCATCCTACCTCCTTCCATCTGGTTACTATGGAGATCAAGTTGAAAGAAGAAAAAAAGAAAGAAAAAATCATAAGATGACTAGTTCACTAAATGCCTTCCCCTGCTAAGGTGTTGTTGTTGTTGTCAGGTGCCATCGAGTCAGAACCGACCCATAGGGACCCCATGCACAGCAGAACAAAACAATGTCCGATCCTGGGCCAACCTCACTACCACTGCCACATCTGACGCCATCAATGATAACACCTGGCCAATCCATCTCGTTAGGGGTCTTCCTGTTAAGGTAAGTTCTGTTAAATGAAAGGAAAAAATCCTGAAATTCTAACCTCTCTGGGAAAGACTGCTGTAGGGAAGGCAAGTTTCAGACCTACTTAATTATAGAACGCCTGCTCACCAGTCGCTCCTTGGAAACCCTACACAGGGTCACTATGGGTCGAAACCAACTCGATGGTACACAACAACAACAACTATGTGCTAGTGCTGTAGGTTAATGCGCCAGACTGCAAAGCAGTTTGAACTGCAAGATCGGCGGTTCAAGCTCACCAGCTGCTCCTCGAAAACCCTATAAGGGTTGCTATGGTTTGGAACCGACTCGAGAGCACTTCACAACAACTATGTGCTAGGACTCCTGGTTTGGCGCTGTTGGTTAATGCGCTGGACTGCAAAGTCCACTTGGACTGGGAGGCCTGCGGTTCAAGTTCACCAGCTGCTCCTTGGAAACCCTATACAGGGTTGCTATGGGTTGGAACCCGACTCGATGGCACTTCACAAATTAACAACAACTATGTGCTAAAGGAGCTCTGGTAGCGTAGTGGTTACGAATCGGGCTGCGAACTTAAGGTCAGCGGTTCGAAACTACCAGCTGCACCACGGGAGAAAGATGAGGCTTTCTACTCCCGTAAAGATTTACACCCTCGGAAACCCTATACAGGGTCGCTATGGGTCGGAACCGACTCGATGGCACACAACAACAACAAAATGTGCTAAAGGAACTCTGGTAGCTTAGTGGTTATGAGTTAGGCTGCTAATCACACAATCAACAGTTCGAAACTACCAGCGGTTCCGTGGAAGAACGATGAGGCTTTCTGCTCCTGTAAAGCTTTATAGCCTCAGAAACCCTATACAGGGTTGCTACGAGTCGAAACTGACTCCAGGGCACACCACCACCACCACCATGTGCTAGGCATTTTACAAACATCTTCTCATTAACTCCTTACAGCAACACTTATAAAGTAGAAGTAAAGAAGTTGAGTTTTAAAAAAGAGAAGGAACTGTACAATCCTTAACCCTAAATGACCCAAGTTCCTATGGGTGGGTGTGGGTGTGAGTGTGTGAAGGGAGAAAAGACAGAATTAAGCATAAATGATTAAACTGGTTTCTCCTGAGATTAACTCTAAAAAGAAGAAATTTATCAGGAGCAGTTGGTAATTACAGAATATTGATTAGGGAGATGATAGGGGAAGAGGGACAGATAGATCAAGACCTGCTGTGTCGTTTGGGAGGGACAGGGGGCACAACTAAAGAATTCCAGGTTTAAGGGCGGGGAACTCGGACTCAGACCAGCGCACGTTAGTAACTTGGGGGCCACGCTAATCAGGTTGTCTGGTTCTGTCAATATTGTATGATCAGACATGAAGGATCAAAGGACCTACAGGTGAATTTTTTGTCACGTTAAATGAGATGTGGAAGTTCAGAGGAACAGCATGTTTCATAACTAATGTGACAACTAGAGTGGGTCCGGCGGCTGGAGACAGCCAGGACTAAGGGGCCAAGAAACAGGAGAAGAGAACGCGGGGGTGTGAGACGAGGTGTGTCTGAGCGGCAGACAGAGGCTTAGAGAGGATGGAAACAGAACAGGGAACAAAGGAACGGGAGACCACCATCTTAACTGGGAAGATGCGCAGGGTCGGGATCGGGCTGGTTCCCCACTCCAGCCCCCTCAGCCGGTACCTACTTGAGGTCCCGGTTGACCGAATGCAAGTTGTCCTGGAAGTGCGCAATGAAGGCCTTCTCCCGGCCCTCCAGTGTTTCCTTGTTCCGCATGCCATCTTTCAGGCAGTCGAACACCCTGCTCACGCTAGAGCGCAGCGCCTGTATGGCGCTAATGGCTTGGGCAAAGGCCTCCAGGTTCACTCCGACACTTAACACGTCCGCCATGATGTCGCCGGCACAGCGGGTTTCCCAAAGCCGGCTTCTCAAGCAAAAAGTCGCGCTCACTGATGACGTAGGCATCGAAGACCTCTGGGAAATGTAGTTCGTGAGGAGTGGGTGGCCCTGGTACTTTATGGGGCACAATCCGAAAAAAGGTTTTTACTGGAATTAACCTAATTTGGGAACTCCTGGGGAGTCCTGGTGTGGCGTTACAGGTTAATGCACTGGACTGCATACTCGGCTTGAGCCGCAAAGTCTGCGGTTCAAGCTCACCAGTCACTCCTTGGAACCCCTATGCAGCATCGCTTTGGGTCTGAACTTAAACAACCTATCTGGAGTCCTGGTGTGGCACTGTGGGTAAATGCTGGACTGCAAGCTCGTTTGAACTGTCCATGGTCACCACACCAACTTGATGGCACTTAACAACAACAACAACCTAACTGGGAGGAAGGACAGGAACACAGTTAACTTGGAAAAGTCAAGTTATAATCTCAGGAGAAGATATAAAAAAATCTCGCCTTTCTTCAAACTGTCTTCAAACTTCCACTCTAGGAATCATATGGAAAAGAATTGCTCAGAGCAGTAAATTGTACGTCGATAAATGCAAAAATGTATAACCTGAATCCATTAATAACAGCAGAAAAATTCAAATGGAAAATCTGACAAAATAACTAACCTTTCACTTTTCAGAAAAATAACTCAGAGGTCATGAAAAAGAAAAAGGGAATAAGAATGTATCCTGATTAAAGTCCAAGTCCATGTGTGGCTCCCTGGGCTAATGCGCTGTACTACAAAGTCGGTTTGAACCACAAGGTAGACGCTCAAGCTCCCCAGCGCTCCTGGGAAACTCTCTACAGTGTCACTAAGAGTGGGAACTGACTTGATGACACTTAACAACAACACAACAGGGTAGAGATTGGCGTCCTGGTGTGGCACTTAGGCTGAGCATTGGACTACTAACTACAGGGTCTCTATGAGACAGAACAAACTCCATGGCACATAACAACAACAATAAAGGATAGCAGTTCCGGTTCCGTGAAAAACAAGAAGGCCTTCAATAAGATGGATTGACAAAAATGACTGCAACAATGGACTCAAACATAGCAACCATTGTGAGAATGGCACAGGACCGCTCCTGTCTGTTGTGCATGAGTCTGAACCAACTTCATAAGAGCACACCTAACAACAACAGAAAGACGTGTGGATAAGGGCAGTGATAATTCAGCGGTAGACTCCTTGCCTTCCATGCACAAGATCCAGGTTTGATTCCAGACAATGAACAAATAACAGCCAACATTCATCTGGCGGTGGAGGCTTGTATGTTCAACTGAGTTTTCAGACAACAGACTAAGAAGAAAGACCTAGTGATATGCAGAAGAAAACCCAGCAAATGAAAGCCCTATGGATCACAACAGTCTGATCCCCATTGTGCTTGGGTTGCCATGAGTCTGAGCCTGCTTGACAGCAGTTAGCAACAACAGCAATACTGAGACATGACAACTGAATGCAATGCATAGATCCAGGATTTTCTTTTGCTGACATAATTGGGATAATTAGTTTAATCTGGATAAGGTATGTTGATTCTGGTAAGTGTATGTGGTTATGTAAGATAATGTCCTTGAAGAATAAATTATGTAAATAATATGTATGCATATATACTTAGAGAAATAAGAATAAGGCAAATATGGTAAAATCTTGTGGAATCTGAGTAAAGGCTATATAGGTATTCCTTGTACAATTCTTGCAATTGATCATCTGAAATTATGTCAAAATAGGTTATTTTAAATGTCCATCTATGGAGAACAGGTAAACACAGTGTACATTCAGTATGAAAAGAATCCCAAACCAATTGCCATTGAATTAATTCTAATGTACCTATACGATAGAATAGAACTGCCCCACAAATTCACCAAGGCTGTAATCTTTACAGAAATCAGACTGCAGCATCGTCTGCAGAGAGACTGGTGGGTTCAAATGACCTACCTTTTTCTTTTTTTAACCAACCCAGTCCTTAACCAGAACACTGCAAGACTCCTTACATACCGTCTGTTGTTGTTGCTGTAAAATGAATCGAGTGTCGGTTCCAACTCATAGTAACCTTATGCACAACAGAGCAGAACATACACAGTCATGGTGGTAGAAAATGCTCCGTTTTGCCAGGTTTTTCTGACCAGAAGTTTGAAATTGTGTAGCTCACCTCAATCTAAATTCCCAAATAATTTCCTATTTCCTTCACTTCTACCCCACCCTCACCCCCTGATATAACATTTCAATTCAAATCTTTTTTCTAGTTCTGGAATAATAAAGATAAATTCTGTTCAAAAACTAGACTCTACTCTTCTGGAGTCGCTATGAGTCGGTTCCGACTCGATGGCACCTGACAACAACAACAACTCTTCTGGGACAACACGGCGCAGTAGACAGATGCACTGAGCAGACCCTTTGCAACAAAGACATGAAAGACCAACAGCTACAGATGGTGATCCTGGAACCCTAAGCCTCAGAGGATAGGCTAAAGAGGTGGATTGAGTGCTGACTAGAAGAAGATGCTGAACAGGAGCAGCGAGAGAAGAAAAACAGGCAGCTGTCAGCTGGTATTTAGTTGTCTGGCCATTTTGAGCTTTTGTGAGTGGCTATTGGAGTCCTGATGTGGCACTGTAGGATAAACACTGGACTACTAATTGCAAGGTCAGTGATTCAAATCAACCACCACTCCTTGGAAATCCTATACAGGATAGCTTTGAGTCGAAACCAACTCAACAACACTTAACGACAACAATAATTGATACAGTGGCCTGCAGATACAAGATGTGGCTGGCTGTTGGCAGCAAGGGGGTATGTGCGGTTTTCCCTTGTTCTAGGTCCTCCTGGTAGCTGGAGGGGGGTGCGGGGGGTGGGCAGTGCCCAGCCCTGCCCTCCACACCCCAGCAGCCCCTCCTGTGCAGCCTCAACTCTGCCTGGGGTGGGGCACTGGGACTGTGACCCCTGCTTCTGGAAGCTCCTGAACATGTCCTCTACGTTACAGAAGCAGAGGACAGAGAACTATATTCACACTAACAGTCTCTATTACACCAGGAGAGAGCTAGTGAGTGCCTGACAACACACCAACATACAATCATCAAGAATATATAAATACAGTGACATCATAGTGCCTCAGAGAAAACGGACAATTTCAGCTTACACAAAGAAATAAGACAGAGTGCCTGAAACAAGGAACCAAAATACAGAATCAGAATGGTGTCACAACTATTTAATAAGGAATTTACAAGAATGATATTTAGGCACCTTCAACAGATTGAGAGAAAGATCAAGGAAAGCAAATAGAACACAGAAAAAAATTTAAGAAAATTTCAGGAAAACACTACAAGAACAAACTGACAAAAGATATGAAAAATTGGAAACCATACAAAAAACAGCAATTAGAAATCCATATGCAATTAGAAAGCCATGTACTATCTATTCCATAAATCCTAAGACTTCAGGAATAGATAGTACACTGAAGGGCAAAGAAGCAGAATTGAATCAATGGAAGGCCAAATTACTGAGCTTGAAGACAAATCTCTCAATATTCGTCTGCTAGAGGAACAATCAGAAAAAAATACTTTAAAAAGTCCAAAGAAAGCCTAAGATTTATGTGGGACACCATCATGAGGTATAACTTACATGTGACTGGAATTCCAGAATTTGAAGAGACAGAAAAAAATAGAGAGAGAGAAAATTGTCTAAGAATTTTTATAAGAAAACTTCTCTAACATGATGCAAGACAAGAAGATTGCCATTCAAGAAGTTAAACAAACTCCAACCATGATAGACCCCAGAAGAAAATCACTAAGACATAATCAAACTTTTCAAAACCAAAGACAAGGGAAAAAAATCCTGAGAGCAACTCAGGAAAAATGAAAAGTTATCTATAAAGCAGAACCTAATAAGACTATGTTCTAATTTTTCAGCTGAAATCATGCAGGGAAAATGACAATGGAATGACATATATAAAATTCTGAAAGAAAAAAAATTACCAACCAAGAATCACATACCCAGCAAAATTGTCCATCAAATGTTGTTGTTGTTGTCAGGTGCCATCAAGTCAGAACCGGCCCATAGCGACCCCATGCACAGCAGAACAAAACAATGTCCAATCCTGGGCCA